GTAACGATTTCCTGTAACCTTTGTTGCTCTTTAAACCTACAGGCATCCTTAATCATGAGAAGTCGTCTTTCCAGAGTTGGAGGTTCCGTTTGCTCCCTCGATCGAGCGGACTCGATAGGAGCTCATATCCCCATGCAGCCTGTGAGAGGAGAGGAGAGGAGAGGAGAGGAGAGGAGAGGAGAGGAGAGGAGAGGAGAGGAGAGGAGAGGAGAGCGGATGCAATTAAAGTTTTGGGAAGAGGGAAAGGGAGAGAACGGCGGGACAAGGGACTAGAGGAGAGAAGGGGCAGGGAGGTGACGAGCGAAGAGGGGAGGAGAGGGGAGAAGAGATTCACCTCTTTGTTCTTGGCAGGAGGAGGAGCGTCCACAGGCTTCTTGGGGCCGTGGATATCGGGGAGAAGCGACAGGGAGGAGGAGGCAGAACACTTCACTGCTCTACCCTCCTGTGGCGGCAGAGAGGAGGAGGAGGAGGAGGAGAAGGAGCTCGATTCTTTCACCTGCTTTCGGAACTTCTCCACTGCCATCCTGGCAAACTTTCCTCCCAGGTATGGCGGCAGGATCTGATTAGCAATCTCCTTCCTCCACGACGTTCTTGCCGCTTCCTCCCACGACATCTCCTCCTTCATTCTTCTCCTTTTCTCCTCCTCCTCCTCCTCCCGGTGAGTTGCCAGCGGCGTCGGCGCGTACGCCTGCAGCTGGAGCTGGTCCAACATCGTCATGAGCTGATCGGGAGCTCGAAGATCGTGGGGGAGGGACGAGGAGCGGCGGGAGGAGGAGGAGGAGGAGGACAGAGCTTGCTGCTGTTGTGAAAGGAGAAAAGAGAAACCCTCCACCACCCGCCAGAAAGTCGCCTTCCTCCCCACAGCGTCTGCCAGCATCTTCTGCAGCACCAGCATGTCTGTCAGTCGAAGTGACCCTCGGGTCCCTTCCTCCTGCTCCTGCTCCTGCTCCTGCTCCTGCTCCTGCTGCCGCTCCCTTCCTCCCTCCTCGTCCTCGTCCTCTCCCTCTCCCTCCTTCCTCGCGCGTCGCTTCCCGTAGTTTCTGATCCTGCTGTGCGTACTGCTGCTGCTCCATGTTGCGCTTGCTCGGAGGAACAGGAGGAACTCCCTCCCTCCTCCCTCTTCCACAGCCTTTCTCGCCGCCTCCCCCAACGCTCGATGGCGCTCCAAGAAACTTGAGTCGACGAAGTCGACGGACCACGAGCGAAAGCAGGCAGAGAGCTTCCTTCTCCTCCTCTTCCTCCCCATGACCTCCTCCCCAGCTCGGAACCTCTTGCTCCTCCTGCTCCCCTCCTGCCACCACTGCAGCGTCCACCACAAGGCTGACAGCAGCATTCGCTTCAACACCCTGCTCTCTTTTGCCAGCTCCATCCTTTCTCCGATCTTCCTGTCCCTCACTTCATCCCTCATCCTCCGCAGGCTCTTCTTCAGCGTCCTCCTCCTCCTTCTCAGCTGCTGCTCCTCCATCACTTCCACGGCGCTCCTCCTCCTCTCCTCCTCCTCTCTCCACAGCAGCAGCATCTTCTGAGCAAGCCGAAGGCGGAAGCGAAGGCGGAAGGACGCAACAACTCTCCTCCTGTACCTCTCTGTGACAGCCAACTCGTAGAGCGCGCGGAATGATCTGATCACCCAGATGTTCACCCACACCCTGACCGCATCGTTGAGCAGATCTCGGTTCCACCTCCTCTGCTCCGCCCTCCAGCTCCACTCCAGCAGTGCTGCCCTCCTCTCCCGCTGCCGGAGCGCCAGCAGCACCTCCCCCTGAGCATCTTCACCCTCACCAGGAGGGCTGCTGCTTCCTTCCAAGAGGACATGGCGGAGGTGAGGGAGCTGTTGGCCCATCGGAGCATGGCGAGTTTCCTCTTTTCCCCCCTCCTCCTCCATGCCATGAAGCACTGTCGCATGCTGCTTCCTAGCAGGCTGAGCACGACCGACGAGCAGCGCTCCTGCACCTTCTCCTGGAGCTCGTAGAAACTTTCCATGGCCTCCATCCACCTCCTCCACGCCTCCCCCTCCACCACCCGCGCGCTCATTGTCCTTGCCTTCCGCTTCCCTGCCGCCCGTCGCCGCCATGCGAGGAAGCAGTCGACCTTCCTATCGCTGAGGAGGGCGGAGAGGACGAGGCGAAACCTGCTCGACGCCTCCTCTTGCACCCTCCTGTTCATTTTCGCCTCCGCCACCAAAACTTTCCATTCAATCACCACCGCCTCTTCCTCGCTCCTCCTCCTGTGCCCCACGTAGGATCGGACGCGGATGTTGAGGACAGTCCGGCCCCGCCAGGAAGAGAAGGAGAGAAGGAGAAAGTCAGCGGAGAGCAGCAGCAGAAACTTCTTGCATTTCTCCCCGACCCTGCTGAAGGTCAGCACGACTTGCTCCCAGTGGTCCAGCCAGGAGGAGAGAGCAAAGTTGCTCCAGTGACGGTCGTGCAGGCTTCTGGCCTGTTTCTCCAGCCGCGTCCTCCTCCTCCACTCCTGCACTGCAAGCTCGACGACACGGAGGCCGAGCAGGAGGAGAAGTCGCCGGAGAGGTTCAGCAGCAGAGGAGGCGAGGTCTCGGCCCTCCATGACCGCCTCTTTCCACTGAAAGAGGAAGGAGAGGGATAGTTTTCCGCGGCTGAAACTGCTTGCTGTCTCCTGATCCTTCCGCTTGCGCTCCTGCTGGAGATGGTAGGAGATGAAGGAGTTGAAGGAGAGGTAGAGCGGGCGGAGGAGGAAGGGAGCCAGTTTGCGCTTGAAGAGTTTGCATCGGGCAGCATGCAGGTGGAGGAGGAGAAAACTTTTGTAGAAGCAGGAGCGAGTGATGAAGAGGCTCATGCGATAGAGCTTGCGATGATTGTAGATCTGAGGGAGAGAGTGAGTGAGGAGAGAAGAGAAGGGAAGGGAAGGGAAGGGAAGGGAACATATATCGGGAAACAAAGAGCAAAACACACATCATCATCATCATCATCATCATCATCATCATCATCATCATCATCATCGTCATCGTCATCATCATCGTCATCATCATCATCATCATCGTCATCATCATCATCATCATCATCATCATCATCATCATCATCATCATCATCATCATCATCATCATCATCATCAACAACAACAACAACAGCAGCAGCAACAACAACAACAACAACAACACCATCATATTCAACTCAGTCATCTCACCTGCTTCATCAGCTCCATCACGCTCTCATCACGAAACAGTCTCAACCTCTCATCGTTTACTCTCTCTGTTGCAACTTGCAGAGTCCTGGCTGCCATAGACAAGGTGTTTCCTCTCTCCTCCTCTCCCCTCCTCCACTTGCTCTCTTCTCTTCTTGTTTCCTCCAGCCTCTCCTCCTTCCTCCTCATGTCTTCCTTCCAACATATCAACACTTCCTCCAAGTTTCTTCTCTCCTTCGTGACACGTTTCAGTTGGAACTCGATCTCTGTCTTCGCCTTGAAAAGTTCTTCACTCTCTTGACTCATCTTGCCAAAATCCGCATCGTCGCTGAAATGCTCCATCACCCATTCATAACGCATCTCAATATTCTCCAGCTCCGTCCTCCTCCTCCTCTCCTCCTCCTCCAGCCGCTCCCCTTCCTCCTCCATCCTCTCAATCTCTTCCCTTCCCTTCCTCAGCTCCTCTAGCAGCTCCCACACTTCTCCTTCAACCTTGCGCTGCATCGCTCGTGCTTCTCTGTACTCCTCCTCCGCCACCTCGTGCTGCTTCCTCCAACCTCGCTCCTCCTCCTGCTCAACCTCGTCAATCCTCCTCCTCCTCCTCCTCCTCCTCCT